TTCACAAGCACCGACCCAGGTGTTGGGTTTTCCAAGTCTTTTGTAAAACCCCAAGTTTTACCCATCGTCGGATATTTTAAATTTGAGGGGAGGTGTTCCGATGCCCGTGCCCGAAGGCCCGTGCATCGAAGCACAACAGTTGACAAAGGAGGTTTAAGTGTCCAATAATTCAAGGAGGGTAATTGTAGCAATTAGGATTGGGGCCAGCAGGCTATCTCACAAGCTGCGACCGAATTACTTGTGTTAAACCTATTCATGCAATATTTCTGGAAAAGAAATACTTAGATTTAAATTATAGGTGCAACATGATCAAAGGTGACTTGCCTTGCTCGAGATCTTGAGCTTGATCCTCGAAATCCTCGCACTGCGGGTCTTCGGGCTCCGAAACTACACGCGAAGCGGGACAACTCAACAAACGGCGAAAACAAAGCCCTATTATTGACCTCTAAGTATGCCATTAGATAGATCTCGAGATTTGAGGATTTTTGGAAGTTGAACGGAGTCAATCGGATGTACGGTTGAGAAGATATTGAATTTCTAAGATTATTGGATTTTTGATCTAAAGGACAAATGATTTAATTAAACCCTTTTGGAAAAAGAAAAGAAAGAGGGAGGGGAAATAGACTTTCCTTGGGCGGCTAGGGTGCGGCCCGAGAGAAGAGGCGCGGCTCGGCTGAGCTAATGGGCCGGTCGGCCCGAGAAGGCGGCCCAAGGCACGCGCGGGGAGAGGGAGGGGGAGGGGGAACCGGTGGGCCAGGTCCACCTTGCATGGTCCCGAGTGGGACCCGCTTGTTGGCGGCTCGGCTCACCGTGAGCGGGGAGCAGGCAGCGCGGCGCTAGGGTTCGGAGGGAGGCGCGGTGCATGCGCGCGGCTCGCGGATGCGGCGGGCCCACGCGCAGCCTCACGGCTCGCGGTGGACCGCGCGCGCGAGCGGGGCAGAGGGGAGCGGCGGACCGGGGTTAGCTTGACTCGGTCGCGGCCAAGGTGGCACCGACGTGGCGTCTACGTGGCTGCCACGCGGGCCGGCGGGAGGAAGACGACAACGTCGGCCGGAACGGACGGCGGACGGCGGCGGCGAGCGGCGGGGAGATCTACGGCGATGCAGGCGAAGGTGAGCACACCGGGAGGTTGCACGGGACGAGGGGAGACGAGCTAATGGCTCGGATTCGCCGGAGAAAGCTCGACGGCAGCAGATTGCGGCGGCGGCAACCGGCGGCGAGAAAAGAGGGAAACGGCGACGACGCGACTAGGGTTCGATTCCTCCGGACTAGAGCATCTACGCGGTCACCGGAGTCCATTCCTCGCATCGGATTGAGCGGAGCTACAACGAGGGAGGCCGGCGATGAGAGGCGGCTACCGAGCACGGGCGGCGGTGGCGGCGAGCACACAGCGAGCGGCGGCAGCCGTCGGGGCGGCGCCAGCTAGCTACGGGGAGGCTACTCGTGCTACTACTCGAGTCTAAGGGGAGGAGAAGGAGCGAGGAAGGCGAACGGAGGAGGATGCACTACCGCGATGGGTGAAGGGGCGCAGTGACGATGGCCGACGGCGCGGGACGTGATCGCTCCGGCCTCGGGCCGGGGAAGAGGAGGAAGACGTGCGCCCGGAGTCCACGTCACGCGTCCTCGCTCGTGCCGACTCCTCCGACACGCGCGACGACGAACGGCGACGGCGAACAGGGCAGGGCTGCAATGGCGCGGCGGCTAACAGGGCAGGGCTGCAATGGCGCGGCGGCTCGGAGCGAAACAGGGGGATCGAGCAAGAGGGGGAGGGGCGGCTTTTATGGGGTGGTTATGTCGGTTTGGGAGGAGAGGAAATTGACCTCGAGTGGCACTAGGCGAGGGAGCTTCGAGGGGAAGGGATGGGCTCACGGGCGCGGGGTCAAACGGCATGGGCGATGGCTGGCGCGGCTGCTCCTCTGCGTCCATGGCGCGGGAACCGAGCGGTGGCGCAGTGGGAGGGCGAGGCGTCGGTCTGGGAGAGGAAAGCGGGAAATGGAGGGGGAGAAAGAGAGCTCGAGCCATGTCGATTTGGGGAGGGAGAGAGATGGGAGCGAGAGGCGCTGCCTCCCGATTTTGGACGGACGCGGGCGGCGCGGCTCGGGCACGCGCGCTGGCTTGCGGGGCCGAGCGGCAGCGCGGCCACGGGCACGGCAGGGCAGCGGGGCTTAGGCGCGGCACGGGCGGCGACCGCGCGGGCGCGCGTGCGCGAGGCAACGGCGCGCGGGGAGCTTGCCGGGGATGGAGCGGGGAGAGTGAGAGAGAGAGCGAGAGAACGAGAGGGAGAGAGGGGGAGGGCGCTCGGCTCGGCGTCGGCTCACGCACACGCACGCGCGCGTGCGGCGCACGAGCAGAGCGAGGGTGGGGAGAGCTGAGGGAGGGAGAGATGGGCCGAGAGGGGGAGATGGGCCGAGGAGAGAAAATCGGCCCACCAAACCTGAGGGAGGGATAATAGACTTTGGCAGGGGAATTTGATTTGGGAAGGATTTGAATTCGGAATTTGAATTTGGCGATAGATCGGGGATTTTAGATCCGGAATGGCACGGAGACTTGACAACACACAAAGAGACGAATTTCGCAATTAGGGTTTTTAGAATTTAATTTTTCCCGCTAGGCGCCACGACGGAACGGGCGCTGCACATCGCGCCGTCGACCTTCTCTACGGCGGGAGGGCTCGGGCGTCTCCGCCTCCCTCACCGATGATGTTACCGATGCCACGGATGGGGTCAAAGATGGCGGCGGTGGCCGATATGGTCGAAGACAAAGGTGGCAATGGCGGTGGCTCCCAAGCCCTCCCGCCATGAAGGAGGTAGATGACAGCCCATCATGATAGTCTCCCTCACCGTCGTCAATCTCCTCTGCGGTGGGAGGGTTCGGGCGCCTTCGCTTCCCTCGCCGATGATGTCACCGATGCCGCGGATGGGGTCAAAGACGGTGGCGGAGGTCTATGGGGTCGAAGACAACGGTGGCGACAATGGTGGTTCCCGAACCCTCCTGTCGTGAAGGAGGTCGAAAGACAGCCCGCCACAAAGGAGGTCGATGGTGGTGTGACGGCGGTGGCTTCCGAGCCCTCTCGCCATGGAGGTTGACGACGGCTGCGGCAGTGGCTCCCAAGCCCTCACGCCATGGATGGGATCGACGATGGTGGCGGCTCCAAGCCCTCCCAGTGGTGGAGGATGATGACCATCGGAGATAGAGTGAATAGAGGCAAGGGAAAGAGGTGAAGAAGATGGAACTGATAGTTAAGTCCCATATACAGTTGGGGTTAACGGAGATTTTTGACAGAAAACGTGATGGAGTGGCATGGTTCTAATTTTCCGAAATCCCAGTGGCACGCAGCTGATATCATAAATAGTAGTGACATTTTTTTTAATCAGCATATTTGTAGTGGCATGGATCACCATGAAGCGTGATCAGCTGGACACCTGGGCCAATCAACAGGCGGCCCAAGTAGGGTATGGGAGGGTGGGGCGATGCGGGCTGTAGCTGGGCCAGTTGACCCACCATGCCCATTGAGCGCTGCTATACATACGAACTTCTGTTTACGATGGTTGTACGATGAAACTTTGCACTACGTGGCGCTGGCGATGACGACGACATGCATCAGAACGAGGCAAGTCCACGTTAGCCGTCCGTTTGATCGTAGGAAGATCGTACTCAAAATGTCGTACGTATAGTAATTTTCATGTCCAATGGGTGGTTCCGCCACTGGATCCAATTAACCCAAATTTAAAAGTCAAGATTCAAAAGACATAAACAAAGCCCATATCGAGAAAAGGTCCTCTTCACCACATGCACAGGTACGCAACCATGCAAAAGCAGGCTGAAAAAAAAAAGCATGAATGCTAATTCGTGTATACGCACGACAAGCGCCGAGTTAGGGTTAGGGTTTTAGAGGGATGGCCTAGGGAGGCGGTGGGTGGCGGCGACGCCGAAGCGGCGAGGTCAGCAGCAGGTGGTGGGCCAGTGTTGGTGGCAGGGGCAAAACGAGGTGAAGAGGAGGGCTGGTGTTTTCCTCGTTTTCCGTCGGTTGCCGATGCCTGAAGAATTCAAGAGAAAATAACTGAATATACCTCCTCAAGACTCAAAGTTAAGATCATATGGTAGACTAGTCTTATGATATGTATCTGAAGTTCTGAACTTCTTCTTGACAGAGTTCTGATTTCTGAACCTCTGAAGTCTGAACACTTGTATGAAATGATCCACCGGTGATGTTCTTTTCAGACTTGATAGTTGGAAGTAGCTGGCTGCAAACCTGTGTCATACGTAGTCTGAAACTGAAAGAAAGGCAATCACATACTCACACGTAGTCTGAACTTCTGATCGATTATGCGAAATGAAGGTAACTGGGGAAGTTCAATGTCAGTCTGAACTCTGAACCAAAGCAAAGTAAATCATGTGGAAGATGGATAATGATATTTCACACTCACCACTACAAATGATCTCGCACACAACAGGTAAAAATGAACCAAGAATCACAGATATGCACAGCTACATTCAATCCTATATGCAAGCGTATAATATATCAATGGTGTGCAAATACCAGAAGCTATGGTAGTTTACTCTGCAAAACGATTGTAAGTACCCCCTCCGTTTTTGAAGATGACACTTTGACTTTTGAACATTCATCTTACTAAAAATATTACATAAATATCACTTATTTAGTTGTGTTTCGGTTTATGAGTAATCACACTTTAAGTATGACTTATATTTTTCATATTTGCACATTTTCTTTAGTTTGGACAAATGGTCAAACATGTGTCCAAAAATCAATGGAATCATCTATTATAAACCAAAGTAAAGTACATTTTATCCAAAAAAAAAATTGGTAGTCTACTTTCATCGCATTTTCAGATTTGCCTGAACATTCATTGAGGAACCTGATCAGTAACCAGGCAGGCAGCAAGCTGGTGAAGTTTCAGTATTCTAGTTTGATTTCACCACAACATGAGAGCTAGTTACTATTCAGAGCGAAATGAAGTACTAGAAAGTAACATCAATACTTGGCTGAAATATAGGAACATGTACATTGACTGATGGTCAGACACATAAGTACATTAATGTTATGTATCATAAATACATAATTCAAACTTGAGAAGAATACATATTCTTCTTAGTTTCTTCAGACAGCAAAGCAATAGATCAGCATTGTAGATCAGTTTCACCAGAAAGCGTGAAATTCAACAGAAATTAGTCATGATTATGAAACATGAATACTTTTCTAACATAATTGGGCGCGCCCTGTACAGAAACTCAGATACATATCATAATGCTAGATGACTCTATCATGAGATATCTTCACTCTTAATTTCTAAGATTAGTCCTTTTTTGTGGGAGTTCTTTTCCTTCAATTCTTGTGTAGAAAAACATCAGGAACAGCAGCTGGGTCGAGCTCATAGCAGTCATGGAGCTTTCCACCTTTCTCTTTTGTGAGACAAAACGATGGTATTCGATGAGAAAACCTCAGGTTCTCTTTCACAGGAATCTTCAGAATTCCCCTTCGTACATCAGGCTTGAACACAGAGATGTAACCATCAACTTTAGTCAGATAACCAAATAATGTGAAAGCTTCAGTGGAGTCGACGATCTTGCCAATAGCATACTTAGTACCACGAGTGCTGCGGGAAGGAACCCACTTATTTGACCAGTTCTTGTAGATGGCCCAGACCTCACCTATCTTTGGATGAATTTGAACCTTGCACTTTGCTCCAATTTGTTTGGTTTCTATTAAATGGGAGAATGCACAATTTTCATTAAACTTTGTTTCCATGTTTTGGATTTCAAATGTACCACAGCTCACAGGTACATCATGCTCCAACCACAGCTTCTCCTGCGCTCGTTGAGGGCAAGCCTCAAGCCAGGCCAAATCCACGTTGAACGGTTCCATCTCAACTTTGCTTACCCAACCATAGAAGTTGGGAAATTTATCAGTATCACTGTAAAGAGCCCAAATCTGGCCAGCTTCAAACTTATCATGCGAGCGGTCTTGTTCGAAGTTGTAGAATTCTGAATCAGGGCATACATAACTGATTAATTCGATATTTGTTTTGTTGTCAAGAGCCATGTAGGATTCAAGAGTAATGGAAGTAAATGCCGAATCCAAGTCACTTGGAAGAGCTGCAGTGTCTAGTTCCAGGAACCCTTCTGCAACACCTACCCTTTCATTTCCGTTCGTTTTATAGAAGGGGATACTGTGAGAAAAATGAAGTACCTCACATGATGATATCGAAAAACATGACTCGTTCTTCACTTTCGCAAATAGACTGACAAACCCTGCAATCCTGACCAGCGGTGAAACCGTGACACCATCATCCATTGAGCCACTAGAAAGGACTTGCACAATATCATACCCATATGATTGATATCTATCTGCATGAGAGCTCAACTGCATGCTCCATCCTTTATAAAGAGCCCACACCTCACCCATGTTAGGATTTATATCACAGGAGTTCCCATTTTTGCCTGTCGATGAAACACTGTGGGATAAGTACCTTGATGGATTGTGCAATACATCTGTTTCTCCTAAGCAGAAGTTCCCACAAGCAAATGGCAGTTTTTCATTGGTCGATTTGGAATTTTGTTCATTTACTGTGTTGTGCACCAGCCAAGTGAACTGCACTTTGAGGTTGGAAGGATCGACATGATTTATTCAGGCATAAGCTCTAGGCATGCAATCATGACCTTAATATACTGCCCAGATCTGATCAACCGCAATTTGGGACACATCTCTGGACTTGTCAAAATCAAAGAAGTCTGTAGAAGAGTAGGCAATCACAGGATTGGCAGAATTCTGAGAAGAAGTATCAGTATCATCTTTCCTATGACTTTGTTGATTGTCTCCATGTTTTTCATTTCCTTCCTCTTCACTGTCCACTTCGGTGGGGACATGTTGTTTGGCAAATTGATTCTCAGTAACAGCAACATCATCATTACATGTTTGCTCAGTACTCCAATCAGCATCAGATGGAGAATTATACTTCATTTTCCTCTCAATATTAGAGTTCATAGCACGGTTGCTGTCAGAGCTATCACAGAGCTTTCTCCGACCCAATATCTGAAGACTGGATGATCCTGGAGCATTTGTCTCTGCTGATACACTTTCTCCAGTCAAATTCTGCACAGCGGTGGAGTTTGGATCAGGACTCCTTGGTACCAAAGTTCCGGGTATATCGTTGTCAGCAGGAGGCACATGAGATTTAGCTTGGCTAATTTCTGAAAATTGAACTCTGTCACTTCTTGTCACCAGGCCTTTACCTGCCATGTCACCAGCCCAGCCATATTGTTTTATGGATTCATCAGTTTCTTCAGCATCTCTGGACTTGCAAAAATCAAAGTCTGGATAAGGGTAGGCAATCACCGAATTGACAGACTTCTGAGAAGCAGTATCAGTAACATTTTTCTTACAAGTTTGTTGGTTGCTTCCATGTCTTGCATTTCTTTCCTCTTCACTGTCCACTTCGATGGGAACATTCTGTCCAGTAGATTGATTATCAGGAACAGCAACATCATCATTACATATCTGCTCATTACTCGAATCAGAATCGGATGGACAAGTATACTTCCTTTGCCTCTTAATATTGGAGTTCATACCATGGCTGCTGTCAGAGGTAACATAAAGCTTTCTCTTACCCAATATCTGAAGACTGGATGATTCTGCAGCATTTTCCTCTGCAGGTGCACTTTCTCTAGTCAAATTCTTAACTGAGATGGACTTAAGATCAGAACTCTTTGGTACCAAAGTTCCAGGCTTATCATTGTCAAAAGCGCAGATGTGAGATTTAGTTTGCTTCATTGCTGAAAATTGAATGGCCTCGCTTCTTGTAACCAAGCATTTACCTTGTTGATGCTGATTGGGGACACTACTTCGTTGAAATGATAACATTTCTGACGTTGAAAGCTGAGACTTTTTTGCAGCAGTTGATAGGATTCTCGAGGGAACAGACTGCTCATGCAGTTTGATTGCGAAGAACCTCTTACCACAATCACTGCAGCGGGCCAAAAAGTTCCGTTGGTAGTACAGAAATCGCTTCTGACAATGCGGACATATTGTCCAGAATACAAGCACAGAAGCAGATGGTGTCATGGATCCAGCCACATTGCTTATGTTTGAATCAGTCTTGTTTGGTGGCTGTGTAGCCTCCTTGGCCACTTCTCTTGAAGCACACTGTCTTTTGGTGTCATACAGAGACCTCTTCACATGATCACTCAATATTGCATGAGCTTCTGAAACAAACCTGAATGCGGCTTCGGCACCAAACAGAGTATTATTATCAGGATGAAGCCGATACGAAAGTATGTTGTATTGCCTTCTTATTACTGTTTCGTCTGCCATTTTATCCACCTGAAGAACACCATACCAATCCAACTCTCCAGAGATCTTTGCCTCAGCTGAAGAAAGAACTTCACAGATAATTAACAGCTGGGAGATGTTCTCAAGCTCAGGAAAAAGCCTTTGAGCTTTAATCGCGATCTTGCGGGCGCCGACAAAGTCTCTATTTTCCAGCTTCTTTACAGCAATTTCTCTGGCCCTGAAGGCCTCCTCTCTGTTGCATTCCATCAAAGTATTCCAGAAATTTGACCAAGAAACCCTTCACATATACTTGTTCCAGAATGGCATTAACATGCTCTACCTATCATGTTATCAAGAACAATAAAATGTGAGAAGAACTTTCAGTGCATCAGGCCCTGCATGCATACAAAAGGACATTTTTATTAACAGAAGAAATATATATGGCAAAATTATGAATACTCTGGGAAAAAAAGAAATCACATTTGGGTATACTCTTGTAGTCTTATTCACTTGAGAAAATTGTAATTTGGAAAATTGACATACAGTTCCTTCAAAACAAAAGGCATCCATTTTGAAATGTTTTTTTTTTAAAAAAAACTGGATGGCATCTTTCCAAACCACCACATTTTGAAGTGGCATACATGCATAAAAATCTTTAAAAAAATTGCAGAAAAAGAAAGAGGGGAAATATTTCGATCCTACTTGATGTCTACTACCCTAGCCTCCTAGGGCACCCAAATCAAGAGCTCTGCACGATCAAATCTCTGGCCATTATCCTCGCGAAGAACACACTAACCCCCGAAACGCAAAACCAAACCTCCGATCCAAAAAAAAAACCCTAACACGCACGCATAACCCGGCTTCAGCCAACCTACCCAAGAAGGGGAAGACCGGAAGAACAAGGGGGCAATGGACCGCAAATGCGTGAACGGATGGTACCTCCGAGCTGAGCTGGGGCTGGAACGTGATCCGCGGCGGCCGGCGCCGGCGAGCCACCGTGGTGGGCGGTGGGCGTGGTTAGGTTCTTGGAGGAAGAGCAGAGGCAGAGGTGAGGTGAGTGAGTAGGAGACTGGTCGAGTTAGACACGTGTCATGCTGGGAAGTGAAGTCTTGAGATCAAGGACAGGTGTCTTTTTCTAATAGGAGTATATATTTTTTTCATTGGCCGTACTTGTGAGTATACTGACTGCCTGCCTGACGTTTTCTATGATTACTTGTGGATTTAATAGTTGGGTTTCTTCTGCAATAATTTGTATCGTGAATTCGTGATGTATAATTAAGAAAAGAAAAGAATGTGACTGAGAGAAAAAAAACGAATATAATTGAGAGAAAAAAAATGAAGAACTCCCTCCGTCCCAAAATATAAGTATTTTTAATTTTGATATAGTTTTTGAGATGGTATGTTAAACAACAATATCTATAAAAGTAAGATATTTTAAATAAAAAGAGTTGTATATTATGATAGTTTGTTGAATGATAAATCTAATAACATCAAACTTACATGATTAATGTTTTTTTGCTATTAATAATCAAAGCTAAAAATGTTTGACTTGGCACTATTCTAAAAATGATTGTATTTTGAAATGGAGGGAGTAGTGTTTACTCATATTCTTCCTTATACTTAACATGTATACGTTATATCTACGTTGTAACAGGCTATGCCCATATATGTAGGGATAGGTTATAGGGTGATTTGGTATAAAACATTGATCCGATGGTTATGGGAGGCGGTGCGCACGGGTCAGTACCACATGTACATTGTAACGGGTCGGGATAACAGAACTAGGAATGTGCTATGGGGTGATTTGAGATAAAAACATTGATTTGGTGGTTGCCTACATTGTAACAGGCTATGCCCATATAAGTAGGGATAGGTTATAGGGTGATTTGACATAAAACATTGATCCGGTGGTTATGGGAGGCGGTGCGCGCGGTTGGAGGATAGGAGGACAATTTCGCTATTAAGGTAGTAGCAATATTGGACCAATATAAGCCATCTAGAGAAAGGGAATTGTCCATGCTAAATGCTAATACTTATCTCTTTCTTGCCGATTAAATAGGCCACGTATAGTGACGAGTGGGTCTAATGGACGAATGTTCACGCGCGAACACTTAATTTCGGCCCAGCGCAGATGTGTCTAGTCCAACATAAAAAGCTATTTCAGAAAATTTTGATATGCACAAACTTTTAATTAAAAAATGAATGCAAATCGAACATATAAACTTCTGTAATAAATTTACTTAAAAATAGAAACTGTGCGGTGCCAAAACAATAAAGGAAAAAACATGTGTTTGGAGTGTCGTCTAAGCCGCACGCAAACATTTATTCCCTCCGCCCCAACATATAATCATTTCTAGAGTTTGGACACGGTTCTTAAGAAAGTATGTAGAATTAAATAGGGAAATGTTGTGATTGGATGAAATGTAGAGGTATGTAGAAAAATTAAATGGTGGAGGGTTCTGATTAGTTGAGAAGAGAATGTTGGTGTAGAAGTTATTATATTTTGGGACAAATTCTAGAGACTAGAAATTGTTATATTTTGGGACGGGGGGGGGGGGGGGGGGGGGGGAATACATGATAGTATTTCCGGACCGCACACTACACGTGCTCAAGAAATAAAGAGAATGCTCTTTGTTTATGTGTAGCAGAAACTCCTATATATAAAATTTAATATTCCATATTTCATTTGTATAGACCTGTGGTCATTGTCTGTCTCACTGTCTGCATGAGGAAACTCCTTACTGAATATTGAATCCACTGGTGGAGAAACCCTTTGTAGTCCCGGTTCGTAACCCCCCTTTAGTCCCGGTTTCCAAACCGGGAGTACCAATCCGGGACTAAAGATCGCTATCTTTAGTCCCGGGTGAAATAACCGGGAGTAAAGATCACCAACCGGGACTAAAGATGGCTCAGCCACCAACCGGGACTAAAGATGGCTCAGCACACCAACCGGGACTAAAGATAGAGCTGACCTTTTTTTTTTTTGCATGCCCCTGTTGCTGCATGGTTTATATATATATATATATATATATATATATATATATATATATATAAACCATGCATATATATGTTTCAATACATATATATGCATACATATATATATATATGTATTTATACATATATATGTTATGCAAATGCATATGTATATAGATATATATATGAACAAAATATATTTACATTATAGAAAATGTGTACACATGCATATAGAAACATATGTAGTCATGTATTAATTACAATCCATTATATGTCCTAGCTAGCTACGATTTCGACGTAGTAGTACTCGCTGCTAGCTTAGAAGCTAAGGACCGGTGAATTGTGTTTCCGTCGTAGTAGAATTCACCCTTGGGATCAAGGATTTCTTCGTTGATGAATCCCATGAGTTGTTCTTGAACCGCCGCGATAAATTCCTTGTGTGTGGTCAGGTTATCCCTCATGCGAATAAACTATATGAATGTATGAAATTGATTAGTAATTAAACAAGAAATCGCTACGTAATGAAATTTTGAATTTATTTGTACGTACATCGAGCTCTTTTGTGGTGATGATTTGGTCTGCAAGGCAGTGGCAATACTCGCACACGTAATAGCCGCACAAGTTAGTTCCCTGCTTTTGCTTTGCGCACTACAAATAAATGACAAACAACGAGAGATCTAATTAATATACACTTGTATGTATTTGAATCGGAGAAATATAAATGTAGAGCATGTGTACTCACAGGAAATTTGAACTTCCGCCTAAGTCTTTCTCTCCATTTGCCGCGGACCAAATGACGGAACCGATACCAAGCCCTACATGGAGTTTAAAGCTATGATTCGTAGTAGCAATTAACATAACAAGATTTTCTTAATTAACAAAGGAACTTATGACGGTACCTGTCTATAAGTTCGAAAACCTTGTCAAACGTAGACTCTTTTTTATCCATTGAGTCATATACGTTGACGGTGCAGGCCTCCAGGTCGATGAGTAAAAGCACCCAGTGGAATCTGCAATGTGCGTGGGATGCATTACATATGAAACACTTAGCAAGTTCGTACGGGAATGAAATTTGGTATGTAGGAAGACAGTAAAATTAAACTAACTCTGTGTTGTATGGCAACAGTATGAACGTCTTGTAATGCTGCGCCTTCAGGAGATGGACGAGATTGTCCTCTGTTTCTTGTGGATATTGGTCGAGCATTGCGACGTTTACTTTCCGAGGGTCGATGAATCCAGTATCGAAAACCCTCCGCCGTCGGGCCCTTTGAATCTCCATTCTACAACGATAAAAGGGAGTATATTATTTTCTATGGTCTACTTATATACAAGGACCTAATTAATTAAAGGAGACGTATAGTAAGAAATCTAACTGAACGATATACTTACAAAATCCAGCAACTCATAATACAGACGTCGAGGGCGTCCAGCTGGTATAGTTCGTAGATTCCCCTGAAATTGATCCAGAGAATGTCATCTCCTTGCAAGAAGTCCGTGTCCCTGATCCTCGCTCCGATCATCTCTCTACCGGTGGCGCTCATCTCCATGTACAGCTGATGGAACTTGTACATTTGTGTGGGTAGGGACTGCAGCAGCTCAGGCTTGACAAGCGGTTTACCGAGTTCGTACATGTATTTCACTTCCGCCTTTTCGATTGGTGCGACTCCTAGCAATTGATCCGTAGTTAGACCGGTGTTAGTAATAAATTGTTCTATCGTCATTTCTTTACCGGTCACCAACGGCTCGATCTCCTGGTTTGGTTGCTCTCCAAGCTGAGGGACTGGTTTGGACTTTCCAGAAGATGCTTTCTTCAGCGTTCGCTCATAGTCCGATAGCTTGATGGCCTCCTTGACAGATGCAGACATACCCCTGAAGAAGTTCCTGACACTGGGGTCTATAGGAATCTTCTTTTCTGGACTTCGAGGCTTGAATTGTCTCTTGACTTCTGATGCAACGTAAGCGTCAAGCTCCTCTTGCGTGCAATCGTACCCCGGGTCCTTGTTCTTGGCGGCGTCAACTTTCGCCATCTTTGTTGCCCTTGTGTGGGCAAGCGGTGGAGCTGGGGGGGCCCTTGACTTTGAAGGTGCCGGAAGAGGAGCTTGCGGGGGAGTAGGTGTAGGAGCACGAGGAGGAGTCGGTGCAGGATCCTGAGGAGTCGATGCTGGAGCCTGAGGTGGAGACGGTGCTGGCGGAGCATGAGGAGGAGACGGTGCAGGATCCTGAGGAGGAGATGGCGGAGCCGGAGGAGATGGTGCACGAGACGCCGCTTGTCGCCCAGGGAGGATGATGTACCGCCTGCGCCATAGAATAATGGCATGGCATGTGTCTCGTAGATGCGTCTCACCGTCTCCTCCAGGGTAATCCAGCTCGAGGTCCTCGTACGCGCCTTCGACCAACTCAACTTCGACCTTGGAGTATCCTGCTGGAATCGGCCTGCAGTGGTAAGTACCTGAAGGGTCCGTTGGGATGGCCATGCCCGACGCCACCTTCATGTTGTGAGAGATTATTTATTAGTAATCAACATATATAAGCAGCAACTAGCGGAATGGCTAAATCTTACCTTTATTGATAAGTTCTTGAAAGGAATATGCAGCTCACATGGTGTCCGCTGAGTGATGTCATCAACGGGACAGGTCGATTCGTCCTGTGTTTGCATGGCGTCCATGCTCTGTGATCCTACCTGCCCCGTTGAGGCGCAGCTGCTACGGTTTCCTGACGGGCTCACCATTGCAGGAGGAATGGTCGGCTGGGGATCATGGGACCGATGTGCGGCCATGCGTTCATCAACCTTCCTTGCAACCTCCTCTTGCATGTTGAGTTCGTAGCTCGATACCCGGAACTCTAGGTCTGCAATCTTCGCCTCGGTATCTCTCTTGCTCCTCATCCGACTCCTGTACGTGTGGATGTCCTCCTTGAAACCAATCTTCCAAGGAATCACCCCTTTCCCTCGAGTTCGTCCTGGATGCTCTGGAGTCTGCAGGGCGAGTGTCAGCTCGTCCCTATCTCTGTCTGGTCGGAACGTGCCCTGAGAGGAGGCCTCCACTGCATCTGTTAGTCGTCGCGCAGCCTCTTGTATCTGATAGCCGAAGACCAGTGAGCCATCAGCTGGGTTGAGCGTT